ATTAAACGATAATCATATAATAAGTAGCAGTAGATAATTAATTATTATAAAAAATATTGTAGACAGATATTGCAGATGTTGCCCAAACTACAGTATACTTTTAAATTTGTCTGTTATACTCATATAGTTTACATTGTGGTCATCAACGTCTTCGTGCCATTTGGAATCGGCGTAATATGTTTTTATCTACATTATTTTTGGCTTAGTTTTAGTATTTTTTTTTTTATATTGTGGTCAATAAAGTAATAAATAAACTTTAACTAACATTCACACGCAAATACTTGTTTGGACTAATTTAAAAAAAAAGTTGTAATGGAGATCGCCAAAATCTCACATTTCCATAATAACATAAAAACGAGTCGAAATATTTAAATGTATTTGAAATCGATTATGAACTCAGGATCGATTATGATTATTTCATTGCAGTTTCTTGCAAATTAATGTAAAAGGCGATGCTATCAAAAGAATTGCATCGTTTAAAGACCAGTTTTAGCGTTACTAATTTTAATTGTTGCTAAATTTGGGTTTTTTTACCTGATTAAAGGTACTGGCCTGTTTGGTGGTGATTATTTAGTTTTTTTATCTGTTTATTTTTTCATTAGCTGATATCAAGACATTTTTACGTAAATACATAGTAAATACAGAACACACTTGTTTTTAACGAGTGTGAAATATACCTGTACCTGTTCAGTTATAAATTATAAAAAAGGCAAAAATAAAAATAAAATAAAATACTTATAAATTTATAGATAGTTAATTAATTAATATCATAAGTTCTGCCCAAAAAGTATGCTTTCACATAACATTTAACAATCATAAACATGCCCTCCCGTTACCCGCCAAAAAAGGTTCATATTTTTTTATATTTTATAAAAACTTAACCTGTCAACGAACAACCATAGATATCTCGATGCGATAAGAAAAAAATTGCCGCCAAGAACCATATTTCACAGTAATTATGTAACTTCAGAAATTAAATCAATTACAGTGTGACCCGTAACTTTGCCGATCTTTTTTTTCACCAAATAACAATAAATAATGTTGCATGGCAGGTGAAGAAAGGGACTTTGTAAGACATTTGGTGCTTTGATACAAAAAAGTCACTTTATGTCATGTGATTTTGGTCAATTTTATCTCTAACAAAATATAGACCTCTATGGTATAGCGTGAAATAGTTCACTTGCAGGAGTATAAGAAGTTGATAATACCATACAGATTTTTGTACATAAATTAGATGTATATTATTAATTTTAATTCCGAAAGACTTTCTAAGGATTTCACGATTGTCTTTTACCTATAAATAATTTATGAATTTGATCTAGTCAATAATGTATAATTTTAATATTCGTATTTAAAAAGACGTACTCGTATTTAAAAAGACCAGTAGTCGAGTCTTTTGCACATTATTGTAGATAAGGTTAAGACAACGGTCCACCTTAGGTATAAAAAATGGAAACCATTGCTCAACTACATTTCAAAAATTGAAAATGCTAATTTAAAATTAAAGCTAATTAAATATAGAACAGGGTAAAAATTTGTACATTATTTTTATAAAATAATATTTACAAAGAAAATTGGTAATACCAACTATTTATAAAGGCAGAGAATATACATACAGTCTCCGATTGAGGGAATTTTATAGTCTAATATTTGGATACGGTAAAAACATCTCTGCAAACATATCGTGCAAGGGTCAGGTACAAAGTTGTTTTTTATTTACTTTTTAGGTAGCCTCGTAAGACGCGAGATCGTTAAGTGAAAAGGACCCGTTTCGGCTCTTTTGTACCCAAAACCAGGGGACGGTAGCCGTCGGTACAACGTAGTTATCAGGCTAATTAATCGTTGTGTTTCTCAAGCGAATTTTAATGCAACCTCAGTTGAATTGAGACAGAATGAGACCGGATGTTTGTTATTTGCTATACATTGGACTCAATAAATGTTATCTGGCTCGGATAACGCGTATGAGAGTAGCAATGAATCAACCGATTCATTTGCATGCGAATGATTTTACAATTTTAATTAATTATACATCGGGCCTAGTGTCTTTAATTGGTTGCGATATTCAATTTAGCGCCATTTTGTCAATAGTTTTATTTATTGTCAACTGAGTAATTTAAATTGGAGCAACATTCCGGATAGGAAGTTTTAATACGATTTATTTAAGTATATATTAATTGTACAAATTTAATCAATTTAAACAGTATTTAGAAAATTTATCCAATTTGTCATTGAAAATATTAATACCTGGCTGTTAAACAATTAGTGAATTGAGCAGAAAAATAAACTGATTAGTGTGAACAAACTGAGCAGCTAACCGGTTGAATATCTTTGTATGAAATTTGATACTTACATATAGATTTTTTTACTGAAAATTGCAAACATATTGACGGACCATCTGATGAAAAATAAAAACTATCGCCTATAGATATAGAGGTGAGAGTGAATCTAATTTTGGAAAATAAACCTTACGTAATGAATTAACGTTCCATAGATAAATTACTATTAAATTCTTGTAACAAACACAGTCCATAATATAAAATATGTTATGATATTAAATTGGAAAGCAATTCAATAGATTTATATCGCTGTCCAACTGTCTGTCTCGACGTAGTTTATAGCGTACCAATCAATTTAGATTGGAGTTAGCTATATAGGTAAGGGTTGACATTTATAGTTAAATATATTCATCAAAAGTTATCAGATATACCTACCTATATGCAGAATTGTAACCTGCAAAGTAAGTTTGACGATAGATGAATTATATATGTACATATTTTTTTAAGTTAAAAGTAAATTTGTAAAAGTAAACTTTTCTCACAAGGTTAAAATCTTAGTTTTTTAAGCGAAAGATATTATAATGCAAATAATAAATTAATTAATTAGTAAGATGATCATATGACATTCGCCAGTACCTACGCTATGACCATGTAAATACAAATGGCAAGGAATGCACAGGCATAGAAAGGTGGAGAACTGGCTATAGATAGAGATTTTTTCATCCGAAACTAATAATAGTAATAACGAACGTTCTATTTATTATTCCGGAAAAATTGTCGCAGTATAGCTTATAAAGATTAGATATAACACAACAAAAAATATTATATCTTAAATATCATTCTATAATTCATAAAACACAATAAACTTATAATTTACTAAACAAAAAAAAACATCCAAACTAAAAAAAAACTATAATAACCGATTCGATGGAAGCTCAAGTATTTGAATCATTGAACCCCGGCGTTGACAAAACATGATTAATGACGTCAATAAAAATATTTCCTCATAAAAATCCATTCCCATTATTAATTCTAATAACATTGTCCAGTTTTTTGCTCGAAAGAAAAAAATCTTGAATCTGTTGAAGGGATTTTTTGTTATAATTTATGCTGAATGAAACCATTAGCCTCTGGGAGAGAGGTTCCAATCCGATAGAAAGGCATAAAATCGATTATATCCTTTATTGGCTGATTTGAGTGTTCAATAAACTATTGAATAACTTCTTATGAAAAATTTAACCTTGAATCTGTCTTTTTCAAATTTGGAATGGAAACATACTGACGGACGGCCTGATGAAATGGTAACAAAAAAAATGGGTATAACAGACAACAGCTATTCTTTATACCTACTGTCATGTATATAGTAAGCGTACGTATATAACGATGACATATCTGAGTATTGCCTTACGGTCCCAACAAAGAGTGGGCCGGTTGGCCCACCCTTACCTTTCCAGTGGATGTCGTAAAAGCGACTAAGAGAACTTGACGGTCGAGGTATAGCCAGCAACGTCCCTCTTTGAACATCACCAAAGACTAACTGTAGTTGCCAACCCGCCTGCTAAGCGTGGCAACTTATGACCGGACAAACTACTGGCAAATTTTCCCAAGGGGAGGCCTATGTCCAGTAGTGGACAGTTAACGGCTGTTATAATGATCTGAGGATTATTTCTATTCATCAATAAATACATATAACGAGTAAGCATTTCAAATTATGTTCCTATGTACCTACCTATTATAAATTGCATAATTTTCTTTAAATGAAAGTAGGTACCTTGTGTATGGACAAACAAAATATTTTCATGTCTCTGTATTAAATTAAACTAATAGAAAACAACCAGCAGCATACCGTATTGTTAGTAACAGAAACTAGGGGGCGCATTGTTAGCAATAGGTATATCATAATATATATAATAGGATTAAACTTAAGTAGGTACTCAAAATTTCAAAAATAATACGTAATTTGGTTCTTCAAATAAGATAGTTTAAATTTCAATTCAAAACGCATTATTTAAAACTTGTTTATTTAATGTTTGTTTGTCGAGACTACCTACAAAGATTCGTGTTTTTGCCGCTGAACATCCATACTGGTATGGCTGTGTTTTGACTTAAAGAGACATGGCAATTACATTAGAGAACACTAAAGCATATTACTCAAAAACTCAGTAATAATACACACTATATTCATAGTGTTATTCCAATTAGATAACAGTAACCATTCACTCAACAGTCCCACTAAGTGAGCTATCAGCTTGTTTACAATTCCAAATTTCCAAATACTATATAAATATTTAAACTAGTTTGTGAAAATGGAAAATGTATTCTTATCATTTGTATGTAATATGCAATTTTCCGTTAGTTTTAATACAGCTATTGAAATCTTACAATAATTCTTAAATAATAATTTTAGTATGATACGTAATGGTCAGGAGATGAGTAGAATTGTCCCTCTTAGGTAAAACAACACCAAAACCTAACTGCGGTTGCCAATCCGTCTGCCAAGCATGGCAACTACTGGCAATACCCTCCAATAGTGGGAAGCCTATGTTGAACAGCAGACAGTAACGGTTGATAATATGGTCATCAATTTTATTATAATACCTCAATATAAAGAACAAGAGATAAAAAGCAATTAAAATTAAAAACAATTGTAACTATAAATTTTCTTTATCACTTAACCTATATAAGATAAATAAACGCATTTGCACCTAAAATATTGATTGAATTTCAAATTTTCTTTTCATCCAATACTTCTGCTTCTTTCTTCCGTTCTATAGCCTTCACATGGGCCAAATATACAGTCCACACAAAACTAGCGGCACTTACAAATACAATTCTATTCTTCTCCAATACGAAATAAAAGTTTATAGTCTGCACTGTTGGCCAGAAAATTGTACCGAAAACACCAAAACGCGCCGCCCTGGCGAAATCCGCGTTTTCTATGGTCGTCCCATGTGCTATGTACTCCTGGACGATACTACAAGTCGGCCAGATTATGGCGTAAGACACCATACCACGTACCAATGGGAAGTGAACGGGTAAACTCAGAACTTTGCTCAGTATTGTCATGTTTTAATATTCTCTGTTTAGATGACTTTACAATACATATTACAATATATATTTTAGACCCGAGGTAAATTACTATATTATATATTTCAGGTAATATTCAAGACAGTTCATTTTATTTAAAATAGATGACAAAATTACTATTGACATTTAAAAGTTGATGTTTTTTTATTTTTTTCTTTGACGGAGGGATGACTGTAGTGAGTCTATTCTCTGTCTATTAATAAAATAACATGTAAGGGTTGACAAAGACCAGAAATAAAGTGTCTAATCAAAAAAACATATTCATTTTAAAGTTTATTGGAAGAAATAAAACCTTTATAAGCAAGGTCGCGTAATGCGCGGTTTCAAAGATGTTTTCTCCCACGAACACTCAGGTTGTGGAATGAGCTCCCTGCCGAGGTTTTCCCAAGAGACTACAGCATGGGGTTCTTTAAAAGGGGGGTAAAGAGGTTTCTTCAGGGTCGGCAACGCACGCGTAATACCTCTGGTATTGCAGGTGTTCATAGGCTACGGTAACCACTTACCATCAGGTGGTCCGTATGCTTGTTTGCCACCTCAGTGGTATAAAAAAAAAGAATACAAGAATTAAGAAAGGATAGATTTGACAGATAAGCTTTAGACTTCATTATCATCTTATCAGCCGTTAATTGTCCATTGCTGAACATAGGCAGTTGTGTTTGCATGGCTGTGTTTCGATTTGAAGGGTGGGATATGGCGTGAATTTACTGGGTACAAAGGAATATGTCCATGGTACTGCTCATGTCTATAGGCGACGGTTACCACTTTCCATCAAGTGGGCCGTCAGCTTGTTTTCCATTCTAAGTTGTATAAAAAAAAAGTTTTAAGAAGAACGCTCCTGCCCATCCCTCGAACATTAAGTTCCTTAGTCGCCTCTTACGTGGACCTCAGGTTGGTGTGAAATAGAATAGATAGATCTACATTTGCACATAATATTTTATAGATAAATCTGAGTTCGCGTAATATCTCTATCTAAACTATTGGAACACGAAACATGATATGTAATTAACCATTTAGTAATCTCATTTGGCCATCGATTGACCACCCACCGAGTCAACGTTCCAAACAATCGAACTATTCGATTATTATTCGATTATTTGGCTCGGGTGATCCGATTCGGCGATTGTCTTTGTGATAGGGCGCAATGATTGTGCGGAATCAACGCGCGTGCGGTCGACACACGATTTATCAATTATCAACCTAATTAATACGGTATTATTGTTTGTTTACTAGTTAATTTGGATATTAAAGAGTTCTTTTTACAGTAATGTTAAGCACCTAAGTCCACCATCCAATTCTCTGTTCAACATTGAATACCTACCTATATCCACCACTAACTTAAGTATTGGGGGGAAAGGGGTTGTTAACAATGGAGTTTGACATTCCCATTGCTAGCAATATCAGGCCGACCTCCACGTGGTTCCCCCTGGAAACCATCGTGAACAATTCTTGTTGAATTCGTCACGATGGGCTAACTGGCCTGCTTCATCCTCACCTATCATCTTTCACTGGTGCCTCGCCGGTGTATTACCGATAGCGCAGGTGGGGTTACCATTCCATTATCACCCATAAAAAAAAACTTAAGTACTTATCTATTTGAGTAGGTTTCTAATTTCTGCTGTAAATATATGTATATGTAAGTTTATCCTAACTAAATACTAAGATAGTTAATGAAAAATAAATAGACAATACACATTCTATGTGATGACGGAGTAAGAATGTAATGTATTGCCTTTCAAATTTTATTACAAGGACAATATAAGTTTCATTAAGGAAAATTTCAAATAAAATCATAAACATATTACCTAATACTGCCTGACTGGGAGGAAAGGGATTGTTAGTAATGGAGACTAAAAATCCCATTGCTAGCAATATACCCAACCAGGTCGACCTCCTCGTGGTTCCCCCTGGAAACTATCATGATTAATTCCTGATGAATTCATCATGATGGGCTTACTGGCCTGTTTTCATTTTCATCAATCACCCTTCACTGGTGCTCCGCCAGCGTATCCCGTTAGCGCAGGCGGGGTTACCATACCATTTTCACCCATAAAAAAAAACTAGTAATATCAGGTCGACCTCAATACGGCCCCCCCTGGAAACCATCATGATTAATTTTTGTGAAATCCGTTCCGATGGAATAACTGACTGCTTTAATGCTTACCTATCATCCCTCACTGGTGGCCCGTCAGAGCATACCGATAGCGCAAGCGAAGATAAAACTCAATCTTTATCGTTTCAACCTCCATTGGTGAGGGGGGAGGGGAGGGGAAGGGATTGCTATCAATAGAGAGGTTAGTCCCCATTGATATTAATATATCCTATCAGATCGACCTCCATGCGGTTCCCCCTAGAAACCATCGTGACTAATCTATCGTTGAATTTGTCACGATGTGCTAACTGACCTGCTTTTTGATCCTTACCGATCATTCCTCACTGGTGCCCCGCTATTTAAGTACATTCATAACAAAAATTATTACTGTTTTACTTTAGCATTACATTATCAATAAATTGAAAAAAAAATTGTAAGTAGACATCTGTGGTAGACATTATGAAACTATAAGAGAAAACAAAGTATGCTTACAGCACCATCTATCAGAACTAATGCAAATGTTAGAATCGTCGTGTAATTCCTATCATACAAAGATGGCGAAAGAAGCATGTTTTCATTCTCATCTATCACTAGATGGCATAACGCCAGTTTCATAAAGCAGCATGTATGCGGGTTAAAACGTTTAAATAAAAATGAAAAATATACTAGATAATTTATACAGATGAATTATTGCCCCCCCTAAAATGCCATATTTATATTTTAATTTTAATGGTACGATAAGGATGCTGTGATAACAACTGATTTACAGACGTTATAACTATCATACTATTACTGTTTCATTAAAAATAATAATATTGGCATATCTATAATGTTATTATATTAATTTCTACTTTCTTACTATACTAAGAATGCAACTTACAGCACGCCTATTAGAAATTGGTATATGTCGCCTGTAGATTATGACTAATAGGAGGGAAGGGATTGTTATAATGTGAGAGGTTAGTCCCCCATTGATATCAATATATCCTATCAGGTCGTCCTCCACGCGGTTCCCCCTGGAAACCATCGTGATTAATTTATCGTTGAATTCGTCACGATGTGCTAACTGACCTGCTTTTTCATCCTCACCAATCATTCCTCACTGGTGCCTCGCCAATGTATACCGATAGTGCAGACGAGGTTATCATTCCATTATCATACAAAAAAAACCTTCATTGGTGCTTCGACTTCATAGAAACGGTCGTACAGGCGGATGAGATGGGTAGTATATTATTCCATTTAATTTTGAATGTACATTAATTATGAATTACCATTTAAATTATGAATGTACATTCATGACAAAAATTATTATTGTTTTACTTTAGCATTACGTTTTTGTACTTACATTATCAATAAATTAAAAAAAAATATAGTTAATGTAACCTTTTTTATATATATTATGAAATATATAAAAGAAAACAAATATCTATAATAATGCACCATCTATCAGAACTAATGCAGATGTAATGGAATTAAACCTTGTATATATTTTTTATCAAACAAAGATTCTGCAAGACCATGAAATATGTTTGTTTTGCAACACTAGATGTACATACGAGTTTCATAATACAAAATGTATGCAAAAATTAAAAACGTTTAAAAAAATTATAAATTTCATTTCCATGAAAACCATAATATTTGACTAATTTAAAATCGTTGAATACGTCACGATGTTGAAAAAATATGTCTTTTCATCCTGGATAAAATATAAAATATTTCTTAATTCATTATTAACGAGTATTGAACCAAAATAGAATGGACGAATGAATGAATATACTTTATTTGCATTTTAAAATATAGGGAATAAAACAACACAGGCAATAGATGTAACAGATACACTTGTATAAGTAAATACAATAATGCAGTCTTATTACTGAAAAAAATTTTTTCAAGGAAATTTTAGTGTAAATAATTTTATAAGTAAAATATTGTTCATATAGTTCTTACTAATATTATAAATGTGAAAGTGAGTTTGTTTGTTTCCTCATGGCGCCATGACGGCTTAATAAATTACTTTAAAATTTAGTATACAGGTACTATATGGGGTAGAGAAGGATATAACTAGGCTACTTTTTATCGCGTCCAATGAACATAATCCAGTCACGCGTACAAAGTCGCGGATAAATGTTGGTACTTAATATCTGAGACATTATTATTATTATTTTTTAAATTTCACTTAAATTCTCATCTCCCCTCTTAAGGAGAGGAGATGGCAACTAACTCCCGGCAGAAGCACAGTCGGCCGGGGTTCAGGGCCCCAGGGAGAGAAACCGGCGTACAATGCGGGCAGAATCTAAGAGCACCGCTTTCTGCATCTTTCCCGGGAGTGAGCCGCCTCGGAATCCCAGCCGTCTGAGATGTTGTTCCAGACTGGTTGGGATAAGACCGTTCACCGACATAACGATTGGGATGATTTCGGTAGATGTCACCCCCCACATTTCGGTCACCTCGTGAGCCAGGTCGAGATATTTTCTCTTCTTCTCGGTATTATTATTATTATTATTATGTCCATGGTTGATAATGGTATGGTAACCCCGTCTGCGCTATCGGTATACAATGGCGGGGCACCAGTGATAGATGACTGATGAGGATGAAAACAGGTCAGTTAGCCTATCCTGACAAATTCAACTAGAAATAGCCACGATGGTTTCCAGAGGGAACCACGTGGAGGTCGACCTAACAGGGTATATTGCTAGTAATGTGGCTATTTGACCCCATTACTAACAATCCCTTTCTCCCCGATGAAAGCAGGTCAGTTAGCCCATCGTGACGATTAAACCCGGAATTCAGCATGGGTTGGTTTCCAGGGGGCACCATGTAGAGGTCGACCTGATAGAATATATTGCTAGCAATCGGACTAGTAGTTCACATTACTGACAACCCTTCCCCCCCCCCCCCCATTATTAATATGTCAGCCATTAACTGTCTACTGCTGAATTTATATTCATCCTCCCTTAATCACTTCTTACGACACCCACAAGTAAGTAAAGGGCCCTTTCTATGCACACACGGCGTGTGAGACATAATCGTGTCTATAT